TCAATACAAGAATGAAGTTGAAAATCAATTTGGTAAGAAAATTAAAAAACTTAGAAGTGATAAAGGTGGTGAATATGAATCACCTTTTGGTGAGTTTTGTAAAGAGCATGGAATAATTCATCAAACCACCGCTCCTTACTCACCTTAGCAAAATGGAATTGCTAAAAGGAAAAATAGGACTTTAAAAGAAATGATGAATGCCATGTTAATAAGCTCTGGATTATCTCAAAACTTGTGGGGAGAAACAATACTTTCTGCTAATTATATACTTAATAAAGTACCCCGAAAGAAAGTGAATCAAACACCTTATAAAATGTGGCATGGGAGAGTACCATCTTACAAATACTTAAAAGTGTGGGAGTGTTTGGCTAAAGTGGCTATTCCTAGCACTAAAAAGACTAAGATAGGTCCTAAAACCATTGATTGCATTTTCATTGGTTATGCTAAGAATAGTAATACATATCGGTTTTTGATTCATAAGTCAAAACACTCCGAAATGCATGTAAATACTATTATTGAATCTCGAAATGCATCTTTCTTTGAACATTTCTTATCGAATAAAGCTGGACAAGAGACTAGTACCAATAAAAGATCTTATGATGCTATTACTAGTCATGATCAAGAACAAGATCAAGAACAGGAGCAAGAAATAGATCAAAATGAGGAAGAGGAACCTAGGCGTAGTAAACGTGCTAGAGCCTCAAAATCTTTTGGCTTAGATTTTCTAACATTTTTGTTAAAATATGAGTCTTTAACTTTTAAAGAGGCTATGTCCAGTTCTAAAGCTTCTTTATGGAAAGAGGCTGTAAACAGTGAAGTTGAATCCATCCTGTAAAATCACACTTGGAAATTGGTGGATTTACCACCAGGGTGTAAACCTCTTGGATATAAGTGGATTTTCAAAAGAAAAAAGAAAGCGGATGGATCAATTGACAAATACAAGACAAGACTTGTGATCAAAGGTTTTAGACAAAAAAAAAGTCCTGATTACTTTGACACATACTCACCGGTTACTAAAATAACATCCATTAAAATGCTAATTGTCATTGCATCTTTGTACAATCTAGAAATTCATCAAATGGATGTGAAAACCGCTTTCTTAAATGGTGAGTTAGATGAAGAAATTTACATGAAACAACCAGAAGGATTTTATGTTCCAAGAAAAGAAAGGAAAGTGTGTAAATTGGTTAAATCATTATATGGTTTAAAACAAGCGTCAAAGTAATGGTATGAGAAATTTGACAAGGCAATGACGTCAAATAGATTCAAAATTAATGAATGTGACAAATGTGTTTATATTAAAAACACAAACAACGGTTATGTTATAGTATGTATTTATGTGGATGATATGCTCATCATAGGTAGTAATAATGATATGATTAAAACTACCAAGAAAATGTTGAATAGACATTTTGACATGAAAGACATACGGATTGTTGATGTAATACTTGGTATCAATATTACCAAAACATCATAAGGTTATGCTTTGTCACAATCACATTACATTGAGAAAATACTTGACAAATTTAGCAAAGATGATAATCATCTTGCTAGAACACCTATGGATAACAAGAAAGTATTTCTCAATTAGAGTATGTCCAAATTATTGAAAGCTTAATGTACTTGATGAACTGCACTCGCCCAGATATAACTTATGCAGTAAATAAATTAAGTAGACATACGAGTACTCCAGGAGTAGAACACTGGAAAGCAATTATAAGGGTTCTTAGATATCTCAGATTTACTCGTAATATTGGGCTGAATTATACTAGATATCCAGCAGTACTTGAAAGATATTGTGATGCAAACTAGATATCGGATACTAGAAACTCAAAATCCACCAGTAGGTATGTCTTTACTCTTAGTGGTACGGCGGTATTTTGAAAATCTTCCAAACAGACTTGCATTGCTAGGTCTACTATGAAATCAAGATTCACAGCTTTAGATAAAGATGGGAAAGAAGTAGAATGGCTTCGCCACTTCCTTGAAGATATTCTAATGTGGCCAAAACCAGTGCCTGCTATATGCATACATTGTGATAGTCAATCAGCAATAAGTAGAGCATAGAGTCATATGTATAACGGTAAGTCACGACACATTCGTCGTCGACGTAACACCGTGAGACAACTACTCTCTAATGGAATTATTTCTATTGTATATGTGAAGTCTAAAGACAACATAGCGAATCCACAAACCAAAGGGTTAGCAAGAGAGTTAGTTGAGAATTCATCGAGGGAATGGGACTTAAGCCTATTAAATAAAGAGTTACCACAATGGCAACCCAACCTAGTTGACTGGAGATCCCAAGATCTAGGTTCAAATGGACAATCGAGTTGTGTATGACTTATAATGATCACTGGAGAGTCAAACTCTTATCCACTTCTATGATGAAATAGTGATGTCTGCAGCGTTTTAGGTTAGGTAAATACTTTTAATGATTCTTATATCTAGGAATACCTAGTGGAGTATGGCAGGATACTCTTCATAAGAATCACCTATATGAGTGTGAACTGAGCTGGTTCTATGAGATTTGTGAAGGCCTATAATTCTCTAAGAGCACTCATGAAAGACCAGGTTGTTTAGGGCTAAAATAAACACAATAGTGAGAACTAAACTGTGTCTGGTAATATACTGTGTAAGTTCTATTGTCTTGGTTTACACAAATGGCTGAACAATTCAATATATTATGTTCACTGGTTAGCTAGTAAATCCAATAGTGTCTCACAAGGAAAGGTTCAAAGCCAAAAACTACCTATCCTTTGCATAATATTTTTAATTTTTGTACTCTCTGTAATTAGATCATGTTGTTGCATTTTATCTCCGTCAAATTTCATTCATATGGGGGATTATTGGAATTTATGATTTTTATAGGCTTATTTTGGGCCAACTTTGAGCCCAAATTTGAATGCAATCCACACATCTTTTGAGGTGGGTCCAAGAGGTAATGTGTTCCTTGCCGCGTGGCGAGTCACACGGTGAAGACGATGTGTCAAAACCATTTATGAGTAAATGGAAAGTTGACGTCATTTTCGGGTTAGTGGAATGGACAGTTCAAGAAGTAAAATGTGGGTTTCCTTGAAATGGTTATCCCATATTGGAAACTTAAGAGAATTTATGTGTGTATATAAGTTCTAGGTGGCAACACTTGGGTTGGGCCCCAAGGGGCACCCCAAGTTTGTAGAAGGGAGGAGTTATGGACAATATGAACCTTAGCCCAAACCACCACACACACGCGCCCTCGTCATCACCGACTGGCCGAGCCAGGCGCAAGTGTGGGTTGGATCGGTTCTAACTTTAATTTTTTGGACAAAATTATTTGAATTTTTCCAAAATTCTTGCGGGAAAAATTTATAAATTTTGCACCAATTTGAATTCAAATTTTTGCTCCCTAACAGTGTGTCTTTTCCAGCAGATTCAAAACAGTTTTTCCAAACTTTTTCAACTGAACTGCACCAGACAGGTTCAAACTGCTTTAACAGATATGAAACTGCCAATTTTTTAACAGATTCAAACTGGTTTGTAACAGATCTGTTCAATTTGAAGTTGTATCTGTCCAATTTGAATTTGCACCTGTTCAATTCAAATAATCTATCTGTTCGGGTTTCTCAAGTTGCCTATAAATAGAGACCCAATTTTAGCAGTTTTGGACATCCTGAAATCTAGAAAAATTCATTTGCTCTTCCCGTTTTTGCTCACTTTTGCATTGTTCTTCATACTAGTTTTTTTAGGAAAAAATTCAAAGAGTATAGAACACAGGTTTTGTTCGCCGTACAAATTGTTTAGAGTGCTACTACAATTTGTGAAGATCATTGTATCTTGGAAGATAGACGCCATTTATCTGTAAGTACCGAAGCGGGACAAATCAGAGTGTCACACACTCGACTTGATCGTTTTTATTACTTATTCATTTCGGTAAAATGAATTCTATAAGTAATTTATTTTTATTTGTTTGATTTGTTTCAAGTTATTTATTTTACATAGAAAATTGTTCTATCAGTTGAGAGCAGCTACCCTTATTGTGAAGGATGCTGAAAGGGTTAATTTGTTCTTTAACTTGACTGAAGAAGACAAAATGGAATGGGTATGTTTGTTGTTGGCTGGGTATGTTTAGGAGGGTGTGTTTGTTGTAGGCTAGTGAAAGATATCTATCTATATATTATAATATTTAGTTTAGCTATTCCTCTTGAGGCACGTGTTGTGCCTATTTTGCATAGTAATTAGGAGATTTAGACATATTTTGACAAGCTAACTAGTATACATCCCCCACAAATGGCTTTTGTGCTTAATTTTATTGTAATTGTTGGGGTTATAAGTAAGCTTGTGGACATGCATATATAAAATATGATGTATGGTGACAAGCATGATGCTTAATATATTAAGTTGTCTATTGTAAAAAAAAAATTATCATTTGCTTAAAATGAATGATAGTTATTTTTAATTATAATGACTTGGATTATTTCATAAGAATGATGATGCGAGATAAATGAGTGAATGAAGATGTTATTTCTCATTCAATGATGATTATTTTTGTAATATAGAATTTTTTAGAATGACTATTAGTTTTTTTTTTTTTTTTTTGGCTTTTTTTTTTTTTTTTTTTTTTTTTTGGTAAAATTATTGAATTTAATATTTTTTTTTTATCATTATCAGGTGGACATTAATATAATGTATATTTTTTTTTAGGAAAATTATTGAATTTAATATGAATCTTTAATTTGTTCAAATAATAAACTGAATAGTCTGGTTTTGATGAACATAAGGGCAATATGGATATTTAAAATATATTATGAGGGCAATCTTGAAAATTACTTGTTTATATCCCACAATATATTTTGTAAAACAAACATGGATAATATATATCCAGTCTTATATATCAAGTCAATAAACATGATTTTGAGAAATATATTATCCAATACATATATCATACTCATTATATATTCTGACTAAATCTTATATCATATTATATCTTCTATTGTATATCTAGTGAAACAAACAGGACCTAAAAATAAATGCACACAAAGGAGTAAATATCATAAATGGTCAAAAAACAACAAAAGTTCATGTCCTATATACAAATTCTTGCTTGAATCACACAAATGCCAAGTACAAACCAAACCATTACTACACTGAATTTTACTGATATTTCACAAAGTTTTAAGACACAAGGAATGGGATGATCATAGACATAAACGTGTCATACGTTAGCATTGCTGAACCAGTATAACGCGGATCCTTCTCCTTGAACTTTTCAGTCAAACCCTGAAAGTGCATCAACATTTGCAGATAGATCAGATACAAATTCATTTTTTCGTGGGAAAAAAAATTTCTAATGTACTATAATCTTACGAAAAACATAAGTATCAACCAGCAAAATACATTTCAAAAATGAATGCATCTTTGCCATGGGAACATATCTTTGTAATTTGCTCGCAAATCACCCTGTTTGGTGCAGTTTATGGAGTTGTTTATAGCTTCTTTTTATTTTAAAAATATGTGCTAGGGTGCTTGGTGCAATTTCTACTTACTCATTATGAAATAGAAATAGTATATATGAGGTAGAAGAAAATGGAAAGAAGTGAAATCAGTGCTTTTAACTTTTGCTTTTGCTTACTAATTATCAACTTTTCATTTGCAAGAAGCTGTACCAAACAGGCCCATCAAATTTCACTGTCCTTTCAAACAAGTAACAAAAGAACACGGACTTCTTTAGAGGTAAATCGAAGAATTCAAGATTGATAGGAATTTGTTGCTCACCTTCACAATCATTCCACACCTGTATATCCAACAAAACACATTATTAAGTATACGGGGCCGTTAAAAGTCCTAACATAATGGCAAGTGATGTATTTCAGGAAAGAAGCCTTACTCGACAAAACTGTCAAAATTCAGCTCGACCTTCCGGCCACTTCCACCATCGTATCTTGAAATCAGGACTTGAAGAACAGAAGGTGGAATTGCATATCCAAGACTGTATAGAGCATCCCTTAGTTCCGTTGCATCAATTTTCCCACTTCGATCTCTATCAAATCTTTCAAAAATAGCCTACAGTAACAGGAACACAAATTCAACTTTACGTGCACTAATAAAATTCTTATTTGAATCATATATTCTCACAAAGTATGATCCTCAAAACATTAACCAATTGGTGAAAGGCAACTCTTTGGACATAACCTGAACCGAGAGCTTACCATGTATATTGTGGGACATCATTTTTCTTAGATAAATACATCAGCGTCATTTTTTTATTTACCCAACAGAAATACTTTAGTAGCTCAACATATTCTTATTTATTGCAAGATGTTTTGTAAAATTTGACAAGTATGCTACACATAATTTGCTTACTCTCTTGGTGTAATTTATTAGAGAGCTACCATGTTTGCCAAATGAGGTGCTCATCAAAGATGCATCATGTACTTTATGCCAACAAAGTAGTAGAGCCAGAGAAAGGGAACACGGATTCAGCAAACACACAGCAGCAAATAATGTGTTTTATATGTATAGAATTGAAATGAGTTAGAATTTGGAAAATTTACCCACAATCTTATATGGGAGAATATTGATCCATTTAGTCCTAAGAGTTTTATTATGAACTAATTAGTCCTTTTTGTTTTAGAAAGTTGAATTTATTTGATTTGGTGTCATTTGAGTTTAAGTAAATGTCCTTTTGTGATTCATTTTTTTTAGTTTTTTTATTTGTTTTTGGGATGGAAATGGAAAGATGAGGTGTAAAAGATTCTTTTTGGAAAGATTGGTGGCTGAAGTGTTAGTTGTTGAGTGTGGAGTTTGGGAGTTTGGGATGATTTGATATTTTGTTGTAATTGAGTAGATGTATGTGAGAGAAAAAGTAATTGATTAATGTGTAGGAGAGAGAGTGAATTTGGAAAATTTTTGAGAAAAATCACAAACCAAACAAAATTTTCAAAAATTTTCTCCAAAATCTTTTTCCCAAAGCCAAACCAAACAAGGCCTATATTTCTATTAATGTGATTTTCTGGTGTTACATTGGAGTGTTATATTAGAGTGCTACGTCTAAAAAAGGTACACGAAAGAGTTTTTGTGTATTACATTGATTAGAGTGTTACGTTTGGGAAAAATACACTGAGAAGTTTTTTTGGAATGTTACGTTGTTACATTTGATAAAAGGAGTTTTTTAGTGTGTTACATTCAAGTATTTTTTGGAATGTTACGTTATTACGCTTGATAAAAGTACACTAAAGAGTTTTTTAGTGTATTACATTAGAGTGTTAGATTTGGGAAAAACACACTAAGGAGTTTTTGTGTGTTACATTGATTGAAGTGTTATGTTTGGGAAAAACACACCAAGGAATTTTTTGGAATGTTACGTTGTTATGTTTGAAAAAAGTTCAATATGTTACATTGGAGTGTTATGTTCTTGGAGTGTTGCATTAAAGTGTTACATTTCGAAAAAATACACTAAAGAGTTTTTGTAAAGAGTTTTGGTAATTTCAACATTATGAAAAAATCCATATTTCTCCCTCAACACATAACGCACGCACGTTTATGCTTAGCTCTTTATGTAATTCACACTAGAAAATGACCTTTGGGTCTATAAGAGAAAAGGGAGAACCAAATAATTCATAAGATTACTATTTAGGATTTATTGATGCTTCACCCTTAAAATTTTTAATAAACTATAAAACTCAAAATTTAGAAGTCATGAAGTATTCATTTTCAGTTTCCAATAAGTATTTTTAAGATTTCATTCTTGTTTTACAAAAGCTTCTACTAAGATTCCTATTGGGTTTATCATTCAATTTTTTATCATTTCACCGCTTCCCGTTTCCTCTGTATTTTTTGGGTACATTCCCCGCTTCTGTTTCCCTTATTGCTTCCAGCTTCCACTTATATTGTGGAAACCATGGTCTTAGACAGTTTTAGGCATGTCCATGAAGTGTTGATAACGAGTTTCAGAATTATCATTACTATGGACAAGGCTGCCAGAGGTTGGATAGTAAGGAATACTGGGAAAAACTTAGAACTTGGATGACGCTGAACATTGGCCAGGGCATAGGCTGTTTTCTTGGAGGGATCGTGTAAGCAAGTTAGGAAATGGAACTTCTTGGGAGAATCAGAATAAATATTATTAAAAAAAAAAAAAAAAGAGTAGAGAATCACAATAAATAAATAAATTCAAAAAAAAACCTAGTTTGTGGGGCTATTGGTGGCTGATGTTAAATAGTCGCATCATTTCAGAAGAGCAAAGTTGGCATGGAGGATTCGGGGGCTGAACGTAGGCAGTCTGTGTGCAGAATGCGAAGGATGTAGAGGCTATATTGTCACCAATCTCTAAAAAATATGACTGATCTCCAAAGGATGCACCAGACACCTGGTCATCGTCTTCTTCATATTCTTGCATTATGAGTACTATAATCCTATTGACTTTGTTTCCAGTCAATGTCCTAGTTCTTGTTGACATTCATATTGCTACCATTCATTTGAATATTACTCAGGGAACTGTAATTAGATTCTTGTAAGCATCTTCAAAGAAGGCATGAATGGAGATCTTCATTGTTTAGGTCCATGTTCACTGTTTGATCATATTCTCTACTTTGAATCCTTTCTCTCATTGTTTCTTAAATCTTTCACTTTCTCAGTGGTAAATAGCTTAAAACCCTATTTGGGATCAGCTAAAAAAGATGCTTTTTGATTAAATAAACCAAAAAACAAAAGCATGCTTGAGTCAGAAGCCAAAAAGTCAACTTTTACACCAACAAAAATAAAAAAAATAAAAAACTAATTTTTAGCAATTCCCATTGGTTTTTTAGATGCTAAAAGAATGAAAAAAACACTTAAAAAGTCAATGCCAAACTCCACCTAAGTCCTCCATTGAGGCGAACAAGAACACCAAAAGAAACCCTTCACCATTCCAGTGATTGGCCAACCAATTTTGAGACACATACTCAAAGATCCCAGAATCGAACTGTTAATTTTTCTTGGTACAAAGCATAGAACAGTTAATAGGTATCAGTTTAGGGGTGGACATCAGCCCGTCCACCCACCAAGTCTAGCCTTATTTTTTTCCGAGCTTTAAATTGGTATTTTGGCTTTCAAGGCTGAGTTGGGCTAGTTTTTTAAGACTGTTTATTTTCAGGTTTGGCTTGCAATTGGAGTTTCTAGCCCAACCCGACCTGCTAATAAAATATTAGGCGAATTACAATATTAGACAGACCATGTAGTTTACCTCGGGTCAATTTGGTCTCTATAGTTCTAATTGTAACAATTTTATCCTTTAAGTTCGCATTTTGTGTCTAATTGGTTCAAGTAATTATGCCCGTTAGGATTTTTGACAAAAAATGGTCACGTGCCCATTTTACCCTTTAAGTTTGCATTTTGCGTCTAATTGGTTCAAGTGATTATGCCCGTTAGGATTTTTGACAGAAAATGGTCACATGCCCATTTTGCATGGACAAAATGAAAAAATGAACCAAAATTAATTACATAGTTTGCAGTTTCTGTCAATTTAGTCTCAATATTTTCATTTTGTAACAAATTTATCCTTTAATTTTGCTATTTGTGTTTAATTAGTCCATATTAAAAAATGACTGAGAATTTTTGACATAATATTAGCACATGCAACCCCATGGCACTCTAGAGAGGTACAACAGAGATAGTGAGGACACCCATGAAATTTAGGTTGTGTTTGGATCAAGAATTTGTGAAGGGATTTATGAAGGACAAGGAAAATGATTATGGAAACTAGGCAATAAATTAAGCTTCTCCACTTCATTATCTTCTTATCTTTTTCTTTACATTTTTCTTTCTCCATAAATCCCTTCAGAAATATATATGATCCAAACTTGTGTTACCAAAAAACATTAATACCCTAACAAATTACATGTCAGTATGCATGTTCCGAAACATGGCACATTTCCATTCCAAAACGGTAAATTTAGTGATCTGAAGCGATCCCAAAAGTTTTTTCCAATATATTTCCTTAGTAGGAAAAAACAAATATAATGAACTAAAATCTAACGTGAGTTAAGTTTTAACAAAACAAAATATAAAAAATTGGTCATAATACTTGTAGAAATGTTTTGCTACATTAAATATATATATATAATAAAAAATAAAAACCTTACATTTTATTGAATGCCTAATAATTAAAAGAAAATTACTCTAGAAGTACCTAAAATTCTTAAGTGAGATATATACAAGTCTACCCCTATCGTACCATATTTTAGAACATGCGGCATACCACATTCCCGTTCCATGTACTAGAACGATCCACGTTCTTGGTAACATAGATCCAAACACAACTTTAAAGAAAGATATTGAGAGAGAGAGAGAGAGAGATGGGAGCATAATTGTGTGGGTATTGTCATTGTAAAGCAAGAAAGAAAAGGCAAATGGGAGGGAGTAAGAAGAAATGCTAGGAAAAGGAGAGGAAGAAATGAGAGAAAGAGAGGTGGTTGTGGTATGGTGATCAGTTGGAGTAAAAGAAAGAGGTTAGTCATCGTGGATGAGAAATGTATTGATTTCTCTACCCATGATGCATGTGCAAAATTTTTATCAAAAGTTTTCACAATCATTTTCAATAGAACCAATTAAACACAAATTACAAAATGGATAAACTACACCCAAGATTGTTAAAATCGGGATCCTACGTGAGATCGTTGGAAGGAGCTTGTGGATCGAATCGTAGAATCAGATCGTAAGATTCTCCTTTCAATGTAAAATAAAATAAGAATTTATCGATAATGATAATATATGTTACGTAATATTAAAAAGATTAAAGAAAAAAATGATAAATTTTGATATAATGCATTTTTTAAGTTAACATAAATTAGAAAAGACGTTTGAAAAAAGAGTTTATAGCCAATTTTTTCTTCTTTTTTTTTCTTTTTTTTTTTATATATACACACACATATATATACATATATAAGAAATAAATAATAACAAAAAAAATGTATAAGATTGGGATCTATGAAGCATGGGTACTTCGAAAAACATACCGTACCCGTACCGGGTACTTACCGGCGCATAGTACCTCGTATGGTACTTTTGCATACATACCGGGTACA